ATTTTTTCAATATTTGCAGTTGCTTTGGTTTTTTCAATATTATCTTTGGCAAGTGATGTAACTGGTTTCGCAATATAATTTTTGGTTAATGGTGGAACAGGTTTTTCATTGGAAGCAGCATAGGTATTACTTTTGCCAATTCCATGGGCTACAGATGGATTTCTTTCCTGGTATGTGCGTCGCGCTTCGCCCATGCTACAGTAATTTTCTGTTTTGATTTTTAATATTTCACGCATCTGTACAAAACGTGGGCATTGTTTGTCAACGCTGAGTGTTGATCATTGCAATTTATGCAGAAACTACGGGTACAGCTTTCAGTATGTGGAGGATGACCACAGTTAGCACAAGATGCAGCATTAGTGCATCTTTTTGCCGTATGACCCAGGCGTTGGCAATTTTTACACCTCATAGGATTTGGGATGTATAGTTCTACTTTACATTTATACCACGCCACATCAACTGTTCGCGGTAATCGATAGCGATCAAAAGTTAAAATAATCCTTCCTGTAGGAGAGCGTGTTTTTCCGTCATCATTCAGTTTGGTTAATTTATATGCTTCAGTCACTCCTTGAATGCCCATTTCGCGAACAATTTCAACTTCCGGCATATGCTTTAAGCAAGGGGCATAAATTACGCCTCGAACCGAGTTAAGTTTCTCATGTAGTTTAGCTGAAATAGCACATAGATTAGCTAAAGAATTGGCCTTTATTAGTTTTTCGGTTGCGCGCGGGTTCCCAGCGAGGACCAGTAAATTCCCATCGCGTAGAATCGAGATCGAGTCGATGTATGTTGTAATGCTATCTAGAGCTTTTTTTATAGCAAAAGGGCTAGTTTGGGAAATTGTTATTCGAGCATCGGTTGAAGAAATAACAATATATTTTTTATCAATAGGGATTATATCGCTGATCGGCAACACCGGAAAATCTGATTTTTTACTTTTTTTTCTTTGGGGGGATGTATCACTTAATAGATAAAATCTATTCGGGTTTTTGTCTGGCGGCCCCGGGGCCATTATGCCTTATTGTTGTCTATTTATTATTATTTTTGAAATAACCACTCACTTGAAAAGGTTTGGGAACTGTGCAAGAAGGTTGGGAACTACTAAAGAAAAGTGTCAAATGTTTTCAATTTTTTTTTTTGTTTTATTTTGTTTTTTTGTTTTCTATTTTTTATTATATATAGACGAAACAAAAGCACATACGCGATATCCGCGTTAACCAGTTTTAGCAATAACACTGAAAAGACAGAAGTTAAATACACAAAAACACCGAAAACACCGAAACAATTGAAAAAACGCAGACGAATAGAAAACACGCACTACACTGAACACAAGTCGACTTTGATTTTTCTCTGTGTTCTTAAAAGAAGATATATAAGAGAAGATCGAAGATATCGACTTTTTTAAATTACTTTCTCACAGGATTCTTACACTTCACTTTATTGCTTGACTATAGAAATATTAAACTATAGGAAATATGAATTTGTAAACTCTTTATATATACAAATATATGTAATAGTATTACACAAAAATTACGTACATATATATATATTTGATTTCATCGATTTTTAGGGTTGCGTTAGTCAATTGCACTGCCCTTGTCCTTTTTTTGAGTTGCTTCCGTAGCACTTTTAACTTAATTTTCTTGTTTTGTTTTAGCCTCTTACTGGTTTTCATTTAGAATGCCATCCAGGAAAAGATCCCATTGTCTTTTTAGGGTGGCATTGGCTAACGCCCTTTCGGTTTTATTCAACGTAGAATAACTTATCGAATTCCACACTAATTGTTTCAAAGTTCTTAAGCCACTTTGATTCGAAGCTAAGCTCATTATAGCGTAGTAATAATCATAGCTTAAGTCTTTCGCACCCCAAAACCCTGGATCATCACTAGATATAACCACCGGTATATTTTGCGATAAATAAAATGCTCCAGGATGATTGCGTAAATCCCAAAGTAAGTGCAGAACTTGATTCGATATCGGACACACTTCAACGGCAATGTTCCGCTCCTTAACGGCTTTCCATAAAATGGGATGTTTCATTAACGCATAACCATGACCAATACGTGTAGTATTTAGCAGTATGGCATCAAACAAATCTAAATCCGTGGACGTTCCGTACCAGTCTGTTAAATACAACATTTAAATAATCGACTTTTAACGGCGTAAACAACATATTTAGTACTAACTAGTTTCTCCAGCATGAAAGAAAAATTTGATTGTGTCCGGCACTTCTTTAAAAATTTCAATGAAATCTATTAACGGCTTTCCTTTATCCTCTTGACCTACTAAATCAAAACCTATCATAATATTTGGGTAAGCTAAACTGTAAAAAATTTTAAATAAATTACAGTTACGAAGCAATTATATTTTAAATAAATTTTAGACCAGTAGCAATGCTACTGTAATCCACGAACCACCATTAAATAGCCGTTACCACTCTACAAATATTTTTATAACAGCTTTCCAAAATAAGCAAATATATGTTAGAAATGGTCGAAAAGGTAATCGATCCGAACCATTTCCAATAGTGTTCAACCTAGGCCCGAAAACCGATAGTGTATCAAATATCATCACAATATTTCAAAAATTACGCCCTCTAGGTTCAATATAAGAAATCTGGACAGGCGAACGGGCAAGCACGAAAGTTGAGTCTGTTTCAAGTTCTCCCGATTGGTGCATACATCCGCACAAACTTGATAGACCCTTGTATCATAAGTGGTGTAGGATATAGAAAGGTTTGTGACCCTTCCATGTTTTCTTAAAGCTAAGAAAGGAATAGTTTCCCGAAAGTGGATTTCCAAAATAGTTTATGGATCTAACAAAAACGGGATATGTTAAGTAATTAATGAGGAAGAAATGATCAACCGTATGTAAATCTTTCCACTTAATTCGAGAACGATTAACTATTAAAAGTGAAAATAAAAAAGGTCAAGTTTTTCGATCTCTCAGTCAGATTTTCTCTCTTCCTCGCTATCCAATGTACGAACATTAAAAATGGAATATAAAAGCATAAAATATTGAAGGTTTAATTAAAAGTAAACTAGGACTTAAAAAACGCTACAGCAGGTGAAGGCGGAGCTTTTCCTAACTATTCAAAATTTATTGTTCAAAATTAAAATTCTATATTGACAGTGTCCGTAGCTGTGCTACGTTTAAAAAATTCATTTTATTAATTAATTATATTTATTTCAAACAATTCAGAATTTCATCTCTCCCTCGCTTTCGCTTTCGCTACCCCTCTCTCTCTCTCTCTCTCTCTGTCGTTTCTGTCGCTTTCACACTTCAGTTTCAAATTCCGGATCGTTTAACATTTCTTTTATAAATTTATTCCATTGGTTCTGTAACTTTTCCTCGGCCTTTTTCTTCTCTTCCGCTGATAAAGCTGAGTATTGAATAGAATTCCACACCAATTGTTTCAGAGTTGCCAGGCCATCTTGCTTTGAAGCTAAACTCATGATCGCATAATAGTAATCATAGCTTAAACCTTGGGCGCCCCAAAAACCAGGTGCATCGTTTGCTATAACCATAGGTATGTTTTGTGACATAAACATGGCAGCCGGATGATTGCGTAAATCCAAAACCAATTTTTGAATTTGATTCGAGATAGGACAAACCTCTATAGGAATGTTTCGCCTTTTAACTTCTTTCATTAGGATTGGATGTTTATTCAAAGCATATCCATAGCCAATACGGGTAGCATTCAATAGCACAGCATCCACCAGATTTAAGTCTGTACTCCCTAATCTATCTGTGAAATTTGAAAAGATGTTTACAGTTAACGCCTTACTGGCAGTAAACTTAAATTACATACTGGTTTCGCCCGCTACAAAAAAAAATTTCGTTGATTTTGGTAGATTACTTAATCTCTCGGCAAACTCCACTAAGCGACGACCATTATCTTCGTGCCCGACGAAATCAAGACCTATTATGAAATCAGGGTAAGCAGCTCTAGAATGGTATCAAATTGTTTTATAAGATTTCCAACAAAATTTTCGCTATCCGGCACTATAACTTACTGATACGTTACAAATTGCTCAAGTTGATGGTTTATTATCGTATCATTGTGACTGCGTATTATAGCGTGAATTAGTTTAATGCCAAAAAATTCGGGATGCTCTTGCTTAAATTTCTGCTCGATATCTTTCAATTCGGTAATAGTCTGGTTTGCTGGATATATTTTGTTATTTTCATCATATAACTAGAAAAACTATGCGGAGTTAGTGATAATAAAATATTTTTCTAAATTTTTTGATTTACCGGAAAAAAATCTAAGCGTATTTCAGCGTACATAATATTATCCTCATACAATTGCTCTAACATTTGCCAGTGAAAAGCTCTAAATACCGGCAAGTAATTAATGACATCAAATATTGTATAATACATGGTCTTGTAACGGTTCCAAATCTCTTTTTTAGTGGGGTATGTCACTGAGAGAATAATCGTCGAATATTTATTTAATTATTTAAAAATAAAAAAAGGGAACTTAACTTTATTCGCTTGAGATGTAATTAGTGTTCGTAAATCTTTTAAATGTTACAGACCTTTTCCAGCCAGCGCCCTAATTCCTTTAAGAGTAGACCTCAGGCATTTTTCACTTCAACTTAACAAGTGTAGCTTCCAAAGGTTGCATAATATACTTTTAGATTGTAATAAATCTAACAACGTAAAGATGGATAAAAAGTGGAAAGGATGACTGTACAAGGAGTGTGCTTAAATGGCCCGAAGAATAGACTAACAATAGCACGAAAAGACAAACAGTCAAACTATTAGACACATGGACATGGAACATATAAATGGATATAGAGAGACCAATGGCAAAACGATGTAACGAACGGACACGTTATTGGACGGATGAAAGGACAGCCGGGTGAACAAATACAGTGCCACAAACGATATAATGGTCAAATGGATGGGTGGGTTGACAGAGAGGCGGATGAAAGATCGAACAGACACACGGTTCGACTGGACAAGCTGGTAGTTAGCTGAAAGGGCAAACAAACAGAAAGAAAAACAAGCAAAGCATGTAAGCACTAAGGGCAGGAAAGAAGAAAAATAAACAAACGTAACTCAGATTTCAACAAAATGTGCATAGGTTGTGTTGATGCATTGATAATTTCAGCCATTTTGGGCGCACCACAGCTACTTCATAATTTCTTGAACGAAGGCACGAAGTGCGTGTTTTGTGAAAAGAAAAAAGGTGGTATCAAGTCATTCAAAAAAATTAAAGACAAGGTTAACGATGTGTATGGAAACACGAATTATGGTCGGCTTGGCCACCCTCCTTGATCATTATATCTACCCCTAAGCGAAATATTGTATGGTTTTTTTGTCCCCTAAACTAAATGATCCAGCAGGCAAAGATAGCTTCTCGTTAAATTAGAAGAACACTCCAAGTAGTGCTTGGACTTGGAGCTAAATATAGGGTATCACCGCTGGAAGAGAATATAATGCATATATATATAATATGAACTTGCAAGGAGTCTATGTAAAAAAAGATAACAATAAAAAAATCAAATTTCCGTAAAACTACTCCAATTTCCCTTAGTGAATATCAAAACCATTTCAAAGTAAAACCATCTAAACGTACCTTCAGGTGTAGGACTATACAAATTGAATAACGATTCAAATAACTTGTTGTATTCCGAACCATATTTTTCCCGTTCTTCAGAAACTTTTGTACATGCCATATTTGTTTTCTGGCGGAATGTTAATATTATAGTGCCATCTTTGGAAGTACAGTTTAATAAACCCGGGGTGAGGGATATGTTTTGCGCAATCCATTCTGATGTTACTGAGCTCATTGTATGAAAGTTTAATGTTGCACCTTTAGGCATTTTTTTTAAAAGTCTGAAAACTCTACTATCGTTTTCCATGTACGATTTTCCCTTAAAGAAATGAATGCCTGGCACATTCTTTTCGGGATTTATGTAACCATTTAATAACTCTTTGTCTTTTAGAGCTTTGAACTTATTGTTCACTTTAATTAAGAAGCTTAGGGACTATTTTAGCTTTTAACGCATACAGTCTATTTTCTAAGGTTGGGAGACCAGTTTCAATTATAATATTATTTATGGGCGTCGTCCGAAAAGCATAACAACTTGCTCTAACGGCTTGGTGATAGACCGGTTTAAGGATGTTGATATTAGATTTGCAGCTATTGCCTTAAATTATCAAAGCATAGTCAATCTTGCTTAACACAAGCATTTTGGTAAGATAAGCGATAGTGTTAATATGCGCATGGCTTCTCCAAGCAACGTACTGTATGAAATTT